GAGAAATAGAGGTATTTCATAGATAATCATCAAAAGCGAAAGATTTAGCAGATCGATTTAGCACTTCAGAAAAACTGAAAAGTGTGTTTCAGTTTGTTACTGAAATTGAAACACAATCCCTGGTAATTTATCGATCATTTGTAATTGATTAAAGAAGCCCCTACGTTATTACAGGGGAACTGCTCATTGTTATTTTTCACTGATTTGAAATGAACCGGATATTATTATGTCAAGTCGCTACCATCTTGCAAACTCACGATGTGATTGGACCTTTCATACAAGAGTAGCTTTCATAAAACTACTGTATATTTTCTATGATTGTAAGTGTTAAATGTAGATGCCATAATATTGCTAGAGAGACTGTATTGTTTTAACTTGCCGAGACAATCTGAAAAGAATAGCCGAGTTATCGAAAAAGTCTCCGCCAATTCTCGTGGTTTTCAGGGCAACCCCGCACAGTGGACATCACAAGATTACGCAGCTGAAAAACAGTCTTTCATTTGAATGATTAGAAACCAATTTATCGACAGGTTTTCGATTCAAAGGTTTTCTAAGTGTTATGTTACGACATGAGAAAGTCGGCGTAGCTTTCGAAAATGACTGATGATGTCTACAACAACTGAATTAGAATACTCGAACTAAAGGAGAACATGGCAGAAGTCGGTAAAGATAACCATCAATTACTACTGTCCTATCAGTTGTCTAACAGAAACTTCACAATGGTTGTTATTGAAACAAGTATTCTTGTTGGTATTGCTTTAACGGGATTTGTAGGGAACATCGGTGTCTTGTATGTTTTTTACAGGACGCGAAAACTTCGCTCGGGCGCTAACTTCTACATAATCACTATGGCTTGCAGCAATGCTACATWTGGTCTGTTTGTATCACCAATTGTAATAGCAACATCGGCTTGTGGAAGGRATATCGTCGGMTATGATGCTGGACAAATTATTGGATTTACGTTTACTGGGATAATTTTAAGCTCTTTATATATCACCTCRCTSATYTCCATCAACCGATTCGTYTGCGTTGTGAAACCGTTGTTTTACAAGGCAATATTCAGCCGTTTTAAAGCTATAATSAAGACTGTTGTAGTGCCCTGGCTTTTCTCGCTGACTATATTAGCAATACTGAAATTGAGTAATCTTGGTGAATTCATGTTTTACCCAGGYCGACTTGTCTACCTTCTCKCTTTGAAAAACCAGCTTATTGAGCGCATTTCACGAGCTGCTTTTCAAGTTGTGTTTGTCATTATCCCAATGATTATTACTGTTATATGTTCTGTGAWGGTATATGCTGTAGTTAGAAGACTTAACACATCGCATGCCTCTTCTCTCGCGRAACTTCATAAAAATGCCAAATCGCGTAAAGAAGTRGACATTTCAAAATCCCTTCTTTTGTTAGTTATGGGATTCATTGTGTGCTGGATTCCGTCAACTACAATTTTTCACATTGCAGCCTACAGAAACCTTTCTCGTGAAATGGAGATGTTTTCCATCTATAGCATCTTCATAAGCACGGCCATAAACCCGTTAGTTCTCAGCATTTCTAACAAAGGATTCCGAGAGGCAGCCATTTCATTGTTCCGCAAACGAACTTCTTTGACGAAAATTACGACGCAATTGAACAATCATGGTCCAAATCGACTTGTTGTACCAGCTAAAGTGGCCCCTGTATCATGCTGAAGGCATTTTATCATTAGAAAATATACACCGTTAGCCATAAATGACCCAATATGACGATTACCGCTGAAAAACAGTAAAAACTGAGCAAGTGCAGCTGTAACGAGAATTACGGCTGAAACGTAGAAACACTTCTAAGTAACAAAACTTTACAAAGAGAGCGATAATGAAAAAAACTAACGGAAATAAGTTAATTTTTATCGTTGACCGTAATGAATCCTGGGCTATACTAGAATCTTTACGCAAGCTGTAAATTTTAGCATTGTAGAATTTGCTCAGAACGAAAGTTCCTGGATCAGTGTGGAAGGGGAATATTGAATAGTGAATATCGTACTTCAAAATCTTAGGAATATTGAATATTCCCTAAAAAATGTAGGGAATACGGAATATTTAAATAAAACACACACAAAGCTAGAATAGGAAATATTCAGACAGCTTAATACATTTATGAATTAAACGAATTTAAAACTTAATTACTACCTACAATCCCGGTCACAAGGGTTGAGACACTTTGATGAAAATAGTGTTTTTATTTCCTACTGAAAAAAATTCATTTAAATCCCCCATCCCCCTAAATCATGTAAATCAATGTTGTGAGGCGTGAATCATTTGTGGTCTTTCACAAACTACATTCATGCAACTTCGTAATGAGGAGAACGGGGAGGAGGGAATTGTAGGCAATTAAAAGCAACCTCAGCAAAATTCATTAATTTTAGAGTCTAAAAATTAGTTTTGCCCGGGATTGTAGCACTTAAAAAAAAAGGAAACATGTTTGCGAATTACCCATATACCTTGAACGTTAGAGTTCCGATGTCTCATCTGGGTTTCCCGAGCTTCGCTTATAATGAATATCATGAATATATTCCTCAAGTTCGCTATGAGTGAACAGCGACAGTTGTTTCCTTATCTTACGCTCGAGACGTATTCCTATTGTAAATTCAAAGCGATTATACAAGATGGCATGTAAAGAACGTAAAAACTCTATTGGTTTGGTTTTGGTATATGGGTAAACTTCCCTCCATAGGTGGTACTATGGATCGCTACTCAAGATATCTTAGCTGGCTCCTTGCTGTCTACACCAGTTGTTCTAATTYTTTTCACTGTTCCTGACATCTTTAGCAAAGTTGTTGCCAGCCCGTGGATTGTGAAGCGAATCTCATTCCTGCCAGCATTAGCATTCAGCCTCTATTCTTCCATGCTTGTTGCTATTCAAGTGATTTTCGTATTTGTCAATATTGTTAACGTGAGACTGGTTGCAATGTGTGTACTTGGATTTGCGAAAATGGTTTGGGAGCGATTGCTTCGGCGAAGCTATTAGGTTATTTATAATGAATCTGCTGGAGTGAAAATCAGAGCAGTGGAAATTTTTCCACTCATGCTCTTGCTTCTATTTATATACTGGTGAGTATCTACTTCACGTCCACCGTCCTATTGCACTCAACGCATTCAAATTTCACACAGTTGTGGTTGACAAAGCGCAAATGAATTCGAAAGCGCATTAAAGCGAACGAGGTCTTTGTCTTCAGGCTTTTTTTATATATATTTTTTTATTATGTTATTATTTACAATTCAAAAACTGATAAAGTGTTCGCAAATACTCGACGCATATCGTCGCCGTCGCGATGCTTCTGCAGAACGGAGGAAAATATCAATCGTCAACMCTTTTTTGCACTTGTTATTAATCCAGTTGTTCATAATATATATGCGGGATTTCTCTAGGCGAGTTACCTCCGATGAAGTAGCTGTACCTAACTTTCCAAGTCGTCTCTATGTCAATTAAATTTCTATTATTTATTTAGTTTCAGGATTGACAACATGGTTGTGCGTTTCCCCTCGTATGGTCATTCCGTCATGGGTACTTTGAGCCCACCTGTCCTTCTACCCCTTGCGATATATACGTTGCTCGATAAAGAATCCTTGAAGACCCAAAAGAGTTCCATCGAGTCCACCACGTATCAACCTTTGGAAAACAAAGATAAGAGCAAACAATCTCATTTTGTCACTAAATTGGGAAAGCGAGTTTTCTGAAAAGTCAGCATTGGACGAGATTTGAAGATTCTCTCGAAATATTTTCGTGTCCTTTACTACATTGGCGCGTCCAACTTCTTAACCCACTTGTTACTGACGGGCATTCTTTCCACTGTGACATTTAAATCCTCTCCCTTCCCACCTCGGGATCACTATCGGTATTACCGATTGCTTAATGATTTTGGAATAATGATCGGAGGAATGGAATTATCTCTCGTGTCCTTMTTTTGTCCTGGTTTTCCTGGATTCTATCAAAATTCGTCGTATCTGGATCGTGATTTTGCCATTGATATCGGTCATGATATCGGTCACTACATAGAAAACGTGTACATCATCYTCATCTTGTGTTTTACCCAAGGTATTGCTGCAGGTATCGCCTTCGTTTACTACCGCTGTTTAACCGCCGAGTTCTTTCCCGATGCTAGGAAACTTGGGACAGTTCTTGGGTACATGGAAGTTAGCTTAACAGTTGGGAGGCTCTCAGCAGCACTTTTAGGATTGTTTGTGGAGAAATATCTGAGAGAGAACTGTAGACATCAAGTGATGTTGGGTAGATTCGGTCTTTTGGAGAGGCTTCCTTCCTATGGAATGTGGGTTACGTCATACTGTAAGAAATGATTATGAGAAATCRATTGTTTTGACGCATGGTCAAGATGTAATATTTCTAAATGTGAAAGATCTCTCAAAATATGAAAATGACATTTTTTTAAAATTTAATTTCAGTTTATTTACACTAATTCGTAAGATATTTTTACATATGTATTACATAAACAAGGAAAATCATTCTAAAACCAGCATTCTAAAAACTTGACCGCATCAATAGTTATAGCTGATAAAGTACAAAAGAGAATGGTTGGCTCGAAGAAAGAGACGTAAAAATCATCAAGAACAGCTACTCCGCTCAACTTCGCTACCTATTTAGTATTAGCCAGCAATAATCAAAACTAGTTTTTTTATTCACGCGATTAACGTAAATATGCTCTATATACATTGTAACGTTGAACTCGTTTGATGAAGAGTCAAAGACATCACAAACATAAAAGTTTTTAAGTAAATTGGCCACTGGCGATTTAATAAATCATAACATATTTATCGGATCCTGGACGTTTGGATATAGAGTATTAAGCAACTTGAACCATCCTCACTTTATAATTAATTCCTTTTTGGAAAAAGATATTGTTTTTAAGCCCAAAGTGTCTAGTTCCGTTACTATTTTTTAGGAAAATATAGTGGTCTTTAGTCCATCAGATGCCCTCAGGCAGTGGACTATTTTTAATGGAATCGTGTGAAAACAGAATATAT